GCTGGGTAGAGCCATCAGCCAGCCCCAGTCACGCTGCCATACGTGTGAAATAAGACTGACCCAGTCTTCTCTGAATAATTTTATTTAATCAAAAAAAGCTCAGAAGTGGAGTCGTTGGTATATTCTATTTATAGGAATGCAGGGGCAGGAGATGTACAGGTCGAAGCAACATCTGTAGATGATCATATATACTGCAGTATAGTAACAACGACATGGGACAGCAAGTAGTCACCTCACAACAGTACACATGAGTGTTTAGACTTACAAAGGAAATATTTACAAACTTACCTTTACAAACCAACATTGTGTGCATACAAAATGAAATCCGCAATAAAACTGAAGATACATTTAAGGCAGACCAGCAATACACTGAAATAATTAAGGCTGTGGAAATACTTTGCACCTTGAAAATGCTGAGCTGTTAGCAATACTGTTTCTTTTTTATCTCCTTCGGCAGATTGTTGCGAAGATTGAAAAGCATCAATACGTTCCAACTGTTTGCTCTTATCTCAATGAATAAGTCTGAGATTTAATTATTGTTTGTTTGCACTTGCTACTGCATTTGCCTTCCAGAAGTTATCAGCAAATTGACCTCAGTGGCAGAACAGTGCTGAACAGTTCGGTAGAAAGAGAAGTAAAAGCACCAGCATCAGAAGTTGGACATGAAGGTGAAATATGGCTTGAGTAGAGAAGATGTTGGTTTTTCACTAGCTCCATAATAAAGACTACAGTTACAGCGAACATTCAGCATCCTGACGCTATGGAAACACTCAGCACTACACAGATCCCAGAAAGAGTTCATCACTTGATGGCAGTGTGCAGTCAGCCTAGTAAAATGGGATTTTAATTTTGTTTCCCTGGGAAAGCACCATTTTCTGATGGGACATGAACAAATGAACTGGAAAATAAATCCAAGCCCTGTGTTAGAGGAGAATCTACCTCTGCAGTGAAAGGAACAGAAATAAAACTGGGTGGTGAGCCCCTGTGTGTGTTAATTATCTGTTAGACCTTTATATACACAGAGTAGCCTTTACATCTGTCTCTGAAGTTTATGACATCCCAGGTCACTTGATGCAGTCCCCTCAGTGCAAGGGTATTAAAATAGTTGGGTCATAGTGTGTGGTTATGCATTCAGCCTTTATGCACAGTAGTTGGAACAAAGGCCTAAGAGCATCATCAGAAATGTTAATGAACTCCACTGAAGCCACAACACTTGTACGGGTCAGTTGAGGGCACAGCCTTGGTCTAGTTTGAAAGTAAAATACTTTTAAAGATAAGTGTTACTGAAAAAAAAGTCTTTTAAAATTAAAGGGCTATAAGACTAATCAAAACTTGGTGGCACAAGCAAGCAGAGGGAAACTTAATACATTTTAAGGCCTTGATTGCTTTAAAATACTAAATTCTAAAACCCTGGACTGGCTGTGTGTCATCTGTGCAGCAACGTGTGTAGGGGCTTGGCAGCTTGGTGGGGAGGTGGGGGATGTCCCATAGGGCAGCAAATGCTTCAGACACCTGCTAGGGGCTGGCAGTGTCACATGGGCCATCAGATTTCCTTCACCTGCACCTTTGCTGCTGCCTTCCTGTCACCCAGCTCAACGCCAGAGGACACTGTGAGCAACACTGATGTCAGAGCAGGGTAAGAGCACTGTGGAGATGTCTGAAGGTGGTGGCTGTGGGCATAGTGCCACTGATGGAGCACGGGATGCATCGTTGCCAGTATTCCTCTTGGTCATTCTGGCTGGCCTGAAGCTGCTGGACAAGCTAAAGGGTGCAGCTACCATCACACCTTCACTCAGCTGTCTTGGGAACACCCTGAGTGGTACAGCTGCAGGTGGAAATCTTCCCTTCAGAGTCAGCTGCTCTCTGGGTAGCTTTGTAAAGGCCTAACAGAGTTTTATTGAGAAAATGTGTTTTCCCATGTTTGTTACCTGCACCAAAAAACCCAGTATTTGGAGATGCTACACAGGGGGTTGGCTGTGGTGCTTCTTGTGCAGTGGGTGCACTCCAGACCTACGTACTGAGCTTCTGTAATCTCTTTACAGTGGAGTTACAGGACTTGTTGGATCAGCAGAGAGGCCACAGGTTGGCTGAAAAAGACCTCAAAAGAGCAAGGTCAGAATATTGCCTCTGTACGGATCATATGGCAGCATTGCATGTCAACTTGGTATTACTCAGGCAAAAGAAATCTTTGAGATAAAATGCAAGAATGGTTGATGATCACTAATGTTATATGGAAGTTCTAACAGGTTCAAGTGTTCCCAAGGGTGCTGTAAGAAGTGTGGTACCCAGGAAGAGGAGTTCTCTAACATGAATATGGAAACAGTAAAACCATAAAGGAAGGCAATCCCATAACATTCAAAATCTTCAGAGTTCAGCACTTCCAGCTCTTCAACAAGAAGTCTTTTTTGAATCTGAGCACCAGTACCTTGTCATATATCCTCTTTCAGCCTTTTGTGTTTTCTGTTATTTGATAGCAATGAGGCTTAAATATTCCCTTAAACAATCCAGCTTTTTCCCCCTGTGCATAAAAAGTGCCTGCTATTGCCGTTTGACATGCGAATGCGTGACGTAGGAAAATAAAATGCTAAATAACTCCAAGTTTCATGTGATGCATGAGAATTTGTTTGTATTAATGCCAAGCAGAAAGCCTGTGGCTTAAACTGTACCCACGGGCCTAATAAAAGCTGTGGGTTTTATAGACCACACTTCCATAAACGTTTTCTTTTAAGGGGAGCACAGTCACAGCACAAGAGCCAGCTGTGACAAATAGGAAGAAGTACAGACAGTCCTGTAGTGAGAAAGTACCTGAGGCTGGTGCTAATTGAAGACATCCTTTGACTGCTGTCTGTAGAAGTTTCAGTCGCTAAGATATTGTGTACTTTGCACTGTTCCTCAGGATGCAATTCTGGTCTTTGTCTAAGAGGTGCTGCTGGATTGCTTAGAAAATCAGCTGAGGGGAATTGAGATAGGTTCTAGATGATCCCAAAAGTTCTGTGAACACCGTCTCTTTATTAGATCTCTCTCTGTAAACCACACAGCCTCAATGCTGCTTCTGGCTCTGCTCAGGTGCCTGCACTCACCCTTCTGACTGTGGCTCCCTGATCTCAAGGTCTGTCCTTGTTTTCCATGCACGTGGTGCTGAACACCAGGTCTTTTTTGCTGTGCCTCTTTTCTTCTCCACTAGCAAAACGCTGACCACTCCAGTGTACTGACAGAGCAAGCACAAAGAGAAGGGCCAGTCTCCTACCTGCCATGAAACAGCTTGGAGGTGGCTCAAAAAAAGGGCTATCAGAGCCCTGAGAATTTAACAGTACTTGCAGGGTATCTCCACCACCTGCTGGCAGAGACAGATTTTGCTCCTGCAGGCTCACAGTGCCGTTACGTGGATGGTCAATTAGATTTGACTCTTGCCTTTAGAATAGAGTCTATACTGAGCACACATAGCCAGATCAAGCCCTTTTCCTTAGGAAAACCTTTGGTAACAACTGCCATTTCCCATTACAGGCACAGCAGTGGCATTCATCACAAAGTCCTCACATGCCAGTAGAAAAAAACAAACTCTTTGATGGTCACCCTACAAGGCTGTAGAGCTTTGTGGTGTGGCAGTAGGATGGGGAAGCCCCAGCCAAGGAGGTGTTTTCCCCTCCCAATCCCACAGCTCGAGAGGAAGATTTGGCCAGCTACAAGCTGCTAATTTGTCACTGCAGACTCCCTGTGTTGGTTATACTTAAGGCTGGCTCCATCACTGTAACATCAATATGATGATGTTGCAACGTGGCTTTCAAGAGAGAAATGTTGTAATTGTGAATACTATTTTTTTATTACAAATTAGGCTTTGGACATAAAAATATCCTCACGAATGCTTTGGTGATGAGGTGCTAGTGGTGGCTAAGAGATATTTACAAGTTTTGAAATGAAACAAATGACATTAAACATTGAAAACGATTTTCAAGCTGCAAGCACAAGAATGAACTCACCACTCCTACTGCACTCTGAAAGGCTTAGATGGACTTTGGGCCAAGCAATTCTGAAGCTAGAAATGGAAGAGGATCCTTTATATTTATATATATTTATATATATGATACAATATACGTATACTGAAAACCTGTGATAGAAAAAAATGTCTTCATCATCATCATCTAGTTTACAGATACTGCAAAAATTGGACTCAGCCTTTTCTCAATGCACAGGTTTTGCAAAAGATTTCTGTACAGTGTGTATAAAATGTTTTTAAAAAACCCATCATAGTCCCATTGTGCTTAGTCAGAACCAGCTGTATGCTCCAATGAATTCATTGCCTTAATCGTAGCTCCCAAAGGTGCTGCACGTTGACTTGCCACAGCAGAAAGCCCAAGGATTAACGGAGGATTTTGGTCTGAGCACTACCACACAACAGGAGTGTATTTAAGCCATGCCACCATGGGAGCTGATCTAGCAGTGACTAGAGCTTGATCTTACAGGCAAAGTGCCCACTGAACTCATGGCAAACCCAGGCCTATGGGGCATGAAAAATCTGTCTTAACCTGGAGCAGACTTGCAGGGATTTCAGCAAAAACTGAGCATCCAGTTCTGCAGTACATGCTAAGGTCAGCCTGGTCTCACTCTCCCCCCTGCTATCCTACCCCAATCTCTCGTACATTTTGAATTCAGTTCAGCAAGATCAAGAGGATTTCTTACAAGGCTGCCTCACAAAGATTAAGGCAACTGCAATTTTGGCTCTCATTTCCGGTTGATGTTTGCTTCCTGCAGTCCTTTTTTTAGGCAGTGGATGTGACAATACCACATGCCCCAAGAGAGGGAGTGGGTACCTGCTGCTGTTACCCCCTTTGCTTTGGTCCCAGGTACTGCCACCTCTGTGATATCTGTACCCTGCAGCTGGGGAATTCAGGTGAAATGCAAACGCCGAACACAGGACTATGTACAGACGGATCTGCTTGGCGCCTGCTCACTCCCTGCACCTGCTTCAGGACCAGCAGCTTCAGATCCCAGGGATGGAGGCATTACGTGCCTGGGTTCAGCCTGCTCAGCAGGTAACTCTTGACACTGGGGACTGGGTGCACGTCGTACTGGTGCCTGCGGCGCTCGATGAAGGAGGCCAAGCGGGAGGTGTCCAGTGGGATCTTGGAATAGCTGCCATTGTGCGGTTGCAGCCACGGATGCTGTAAACATGTGGCTGCCGTTGGCCTTCTCCTGAAGTCTTCCTGGAGGATAACGTTGATAAAATCCCTGGCAGCATGGCTCACATCAGAGAAGTACTCGTGCGGGAAGCTGAAATCTACTCTGCACACATTGATACAAGTCTCCTCTCTGCTTTCATCCAGGAACGGAGAGACACCACTTAACATAACATAGGTGAGGACCCCAATGCTCCAGATATCTGTGCTCAGGGAGACAGGAAGGCCTTGGATAACTTCAGGAGCTGCGAACTCTGGGTTTCCAAGGAGGTGGTGTACGTGGTAATGACCTGTGATCTGAACTGCATCTTCCAAATCAATGATCTTGACACGAGGTACTGGGATTCTTAAATCAATGAGCAGATTTTCTGGCTGTTGAAAGGACAATAATAAAAACTTAATTATACTATATTTTGTCAAATAAAAGTTGTAGATTTCATTGAAGTTTAATAGCCAATCAAAACTCGCATTTAATCAGATGTAAAAGGTAGAGATCAGAGAGGAACCAGCTCAGCTGCTGTTTGCTCTGAATTCAGATCAGTGATGAAGCTGCAATGACAACATCCTCTTTTGCACTAGGGCAACACACTGGGATTTTGCACTTTGTCCCAAATACTCACAGTTTATTTTCCCAAACTAATCTCTACAGATAAAGAGCACTGACAGATGTAAAAATTTTGCTAAGACTTGTGTATCTGCAATCAGTTTATTTAGATTTGATTTGTTCAGATGACAACTGGCTAAGGAAGTTGGTGGAGTCACCATCCCTGGAAGTGCTTAAGAGGTGCCTAGACCTGGCACTGGAAGATATGGTTTAGGGTTTAGGCATTACAGAGGAGTGACAGGTTAACAGTTGGACTTGATAATCTGAAAGTTCTCTTCCAACTGTGATGATTCTATAAAGTGTGTAACTTGTAGAAGAAAACATTCTTCATGAAGTAAATGTTCAACTTTGCACCCACTGCCACATATCCTGGGAGGGACTCTAGTGTGTGCCATTACCTTTGCTGTTGATTGACATGGATGGAGCTGCCAGTGTTACTTTTTACACACCAGGACACGCTCATGCTTTCCAAGCCAGAGTGCAATTATATTTCATCCCAGTTGATTTTCTCTGTTTTGCCAACTCTTTCAGTATTTAAGACGTCTCTCTCAGTGGGAGATGCTAAGCATTGCCTATACACTCTGCTCTGGGGACTTAACATGAATTTTACTTCCTCTGATGGCTAGGAGATAATTTCTGAATTTGCTTACTGCACCTTCTCTAGATTCTTTTTTCTCTCCTATAACCCCTCACCCTCATGCATATTTTACTGCTGCCTCATGGCTATGTATATATATAAAGCAAAGTTCACTACGCTGCTATTCCATTCTCTCCACTTGCTCTTCTCTTGTGCAGTCTGCATGGACAAAATCAACACATCCTTGAGCAGGATCCTGGGACAACACAGTCCATGGCTAGGTCTGCTGTCACTGCATCTTCTGCTTTCCACTTAGCAACAGAAGATGCTTTATTTAGCATCCCTAATTCAGGAGAACTGTAAATAGGTCACAGAAAATTAGTTTCCCACCTTTTTACTGGGAAGTATAATGATCAAACAGAGAATTTGGTGCAGCTTCTTACCTCCAAGTGATACCTACTCTTTGACAGGTCCTATAAATACAGCAGAAAATACAATCTTACAGAAAGAAACCAGGATGATTTAGCCTTTTGGGTCTAATTCTCATATAAGGTACTGTCCGAAAGGAAATTTTTTTGCAGCAATAGTAGGCAGAAGAAGAACGAAAGTATCACTTCATCTGACATGCCTGGGGGTTGAAGAGGTGAGATCAGGTCTCCTTAAAGCTGGATTGTCCACTAGACAAGCAAGTTTAAATTCATCTCTCATTCTCCATTTTTAATTAGCATTTAAGTCTGCAAAAAGTTTTAGGTTATCTAATATCCCTGGCAACCACAATCAATGTTGCAGATCACAAAACTCAAAATAGTTAACCATAACTCTAATTGCTAATTCTCTGTCATCCCAGATAACTGGGATGTTGGGGAGGACAGCAGTACAATGCCGAATCCAGGACAGTACAGTGCCTCCTGCCATGTGCACTAACAAAAGGAGGTACAAGCTGTACTAATCTGAGTGTGACATTAGAGTATGCCTGAATTTCTTCTCCATAGTGCAACTTGTTCTTCATTGTTCCTCTGAACCTCTCCCTGTGTGTATTTCCCACCCAGTTCCCCTCTCAGGCTCTGCAGCACAATGCAGTGTGCTGCTTCCCTTTGCCCCTGCCAGCTCTTCCCTGCCTCCTGCTCCCTGGCACCATCCTCTCCCCTTGCTTTGGGCTCCCCAGGCCATTGCTGTGGATGTGAGGGAGACATGCTTCTTCTGGCCTCCCCTCAGCTGCCCGGGCACAAGCCAGCTCTGCTCAGGAAGTTTGGTAGCTAAGTTGGTACATGTGTGAGCCCAAACCATACTCCATAGATTTATCTTATAATTCCCCTTCAGCCAGGTGCTAGTGACATCTCACTCTTGTCTCAGACTTCCTTCTTCTCCTTAATTAAATCCAGAAAGCCCTTGAGAACAAAGTGAGTCAAGGAAATAGGTGCATTTCTTGTCTGAAGGAAAAACCCTGGTGCTGCAGGTCAGTAAGCCCTTTCTCTGATCAACAGGTCTATTTAGTGATCATCTCCTTGGGGTACAGATGGCACCTCCTCCCTGTCTGCACAGCTGGGAACTCTCTGTTCCAGGGCACAGAATAATAGCATCATTCTCTTTTGTTCTTACCTTTATGTCTAAGTGAGCCACTCTGCAATTGTGAAGATACTGCAAGGCTTCCATTGTGTCTCTTATGTAGAATGCCACCTTTTCCTCCATAAGTTCATCGTGGTTCATCAGATAATCTAAGAGACGACCGTCATCCATCCTGCAAACAAATCAAACCCTGCATGTGAAAGATCACATGGTATCTCTAGGAACAGTTAATGCTTGAAAACAAAATTGCAATGGAAACTTCATGACCTAAAAATGGAGAAAACTAAAATGCAAGATCTGATTAGTATTTAATGATATCTCAAGATACCTCAGGCCGTGGAAGTGGTAGAATGATTAAACCTCAATTGTTATCTTTGAAAAATTTATCAACAGTCTTAAAGTAAACTCATTTGCTTAAGGATGGATTCAATAAACAGAGGCAATTCCTTTGAAAGCAGAGCTTCTTAATTATTTGGATTCATCTATGTATTTATAGAACTGGTTGCATAATGCAGAAAAAAAATCACTGACATTTTCAGCTGGTAATATGTTCTGTGGGAAAACTAACCCAATAAAAGTTTTCCACCTAGTTTTATTTATCTGTACAAACAAACAATCAAATAGCCCAAATATACTTTGCTGGGTATACTGTAACAAAGAAATATTTTTGATTTTGGTTGCTATTTCTCCTTATAGGGGCAAACATAGTCTTTTCACCAAGAAGTATTAGAACAATGTAGGCCTTGATCTAGTTGAAACAAATTTACTCAAATTTAAAAAAGTGGACAAAACTGCCCAAGTAAATCTGATGCTATTCAATGGGACAAACTAACTGTGGATAAAATTACCCAAGCTTCACTGGAGTAGAAAGCAGTTTGTCCCTCTGAATCTTCTTTACTGTAAAGAAATGGCAGTGGAAACTCTGCAGAAAATGGCTATTTCATTTGACATCACAATCAATATA